ATTAAATTATTTATCTGAATCAGTTAGATTTTATAAATGTAATAGACATTCTGATCTCAGTTGGCAGATACTTGTAGACAGAGGTTAAATAAAGGTCATTTGTTTCTTTTTTTTAACTTTTTATTGTGATTTAGGTGAACGTTTATAGAGCAAATTCATTTTCTATTCAACAGTTCATACACATTTGGTTTTGAGACTTTGATTGCAACCAGCTCTTAAGTAAGAGTCTCCCTTCCTCCCTGTGGTTCATCTTACCCTGTGTCCTTCTTTCCTTTGTATTTCTGTCTTCTGAGCTTTATCCCTACACAGATGCTGCCCTTTTGGTATTATATGGTTGATTTTTTTAAGAAGCATGTATCTCCTTGGTGGGTCAACTTATAGGTGTATCTATTGTTTGACCCATTGGAGTGAGTTCCATTCTGGGACCAAAGAGTGACTAAGGGCCATAGTCTTGTCATTAATTGTTCCATCAGTTCTCTATCAGACCAATAGGCTTGGTCTTTTTTTTTACTATTTTGAGTTTTGTTCCACATTTTTCTCCCACTCTATCCTGGATCTCCAGTTTTGATCCCAATAAAGCTCATTTCTATGTAGTTGTTCAACATGTTACAAGAGCGCAGAGGCAGTGACTGGTTGGATGGTTACCTGATCAGGTTAGATAGAGAGAGAGAGAGAAAGCAAGAGAACAGGATCTGAGTGAATTAATGCATCTTCCTGAAATGGAACACTTTTCTCTCTTCTTTCAAGATGACATCTTAGAGAACAATAGCTTTCATTTTCATTTAGCTCATGAGAGAGATCAGTGATTTCATTTTACAGATGAACTGTAGTATTTCAATCATTACTCAGAGCTCTTGAGAGAGTTTTACTTTATATGTAATCATTGAGCCTGATTAGTTTAAACATTACAAGCAAACGTAATTTCACGTGGATAATATTTTTATAAAATCCGAATTGATGCAGACCATTTTGACAATACTATTAAATATGTATAAGCATAGATAGACCTGATTTTGAAAGGCAACCATTAGCTCTCAGAGAAGCATAATTGAGTATGGATAATTATCATTTTCTTCCTATACTGGCTACCATTTTTAATGATAAAATTTCCTTCTGTCAATCTTTGTTCATTTAGATGTTTTAATCTACATAAATTAAATGTAGGGTTAATCTACAAAATTTTACACAGAAATCAATTCACTATGAGGACTAAGGGGGGAATGACAGTAGATTTATAATTTAGCTGCTGTGACCAGTGTTGTTGCTGTTGTTAGATGCGGTGGAGTTGATTCCCACTCATAGTGACCCTACGCACAACAGAACAAAACACTGCCTGGTTCTGTGCCTTCTTCACAATCCTTGCCCTGCTTGAGCCTATCTTTGCAGCCACTGTGTCAATCCATCTCGTTGAGGGACTTCCCCTTTTTCTCTGACCCTCCACTTTACCAAGCATGATTATCCTTCTCCAGGGAATGGTCCCTTCTAACAACATGACTGAGTAGATGAGCGGAAATGTGGCCATTCTCTCTCTGAAGGAGCAGTCCAGCTGCACTCCTTCCAGGATAGATTTGTTTGGTCTTCTGGCAGTTCATGAAATTTTCAGTATTCTTCACTGCCACCACAATTCAAAATCGTCAGCTCTTCTTTGGTCTTCCTTATTCATTGTTCAGCTCTCACATGCATATGAGGTGATTGAAAGTACCATAGCCTGGGTTAGATGCACCTTAGTCTTCAAAGTGACATCTTTGTTCAACACTTTAAAGAGGTTTTTGCAGCAGATTTGCCCAGTGCAATACAATGTCTGATTTCTTGACTGCTGCTTCATGAGTGTTGATTGTGGATCCAAGTAAAATAAAATCTTTGACAACTTCAATCTTTTCTCCATTTATCCTGATACTACCTATTGTTCCAGTTGTGAAGATCTTTGGTTTCTTTATGTTGGGGTATCTGCATCAATAAGCACTTCAGCTCCTCTTCACTTTCAGCAAGCAAGGTTATGTTATGTGCACATTGCAGGTTGTTAATGAGTCTTCCTCCATTCATGATGCCACATTCTTCTTCATATAGTACAGCTTCTGAGATAATTTGCTCAGCATACAGATTGAATAAGTATGGTGAAATGATACAACCTTGATGCACACCCTTCCTGATTTTTAACCATGCCGTATTCCCCTGTTCTGTTTGAACACCTGCCTCTTGGTCTAGGTATAGGTTCCTCAAGAGCACAATTAAGTGTTCTGGAATTACTGTTCTTTGCAATGCTAGCCATAATTTTCTATGATTCATGCAGTTGAAAACATTTTCATGTTAATAAAATACAGGCAATCATCTTTCTGGTCTTTTCTACTTTCAGCCAAAATTGATCTGACATCAGCCGTGATATCCCTTGTTCCAAGTTCTCTTCTGAATCCAGCTTTAATTTCTGGCAGTTCCCTGTCTAGTACTGCTGCAACCACTTTTTAAATATTTTCAGCAAAAGTTCACTTGTGTGTGAAATTAATGATATTATTAGATAATTTGCACATTCTGTTGGATCACATTTCTTTAGAATGACCACAAATTTTGATCTCTTCCAGTTGGTTGGCCAGGTACCTGACCTGAATTTCATGGCATAGACAAATGAGTCCTTCTAGCATTGTATCTGTTGGCTGAAGTATCTCAATTTGTTTTTTTGTCAATTCCTGGAGCCTTTTTTTTTTTTTTGCCAATTCCTTCAGTGCATCTTGGACTTCTTCCATCAATGTCATCGGTGCCTGATCATTGGGTACCTCCTGAAATGATTGAATGTAAACAAATTCTTTTTGGCACAGTGACTTTGTGTATTCCTCCATTTTCTTTTGATGCTTTCTGCATCATTCAATATTTTGTTCACAGAATCCTTCAATATTGCAATTTGAGGCTTGAATTTTTTCTTTAGTTCTTTCAGTTTGAGAAATGACAAGCTGTTCTTCCCTTTTGGTTTTCTAATTCCAGGTCTTGCACATTTCATTATAATTTTTTACTTTGTCTTCTCATGCTGCCCTTGAAAACTTATGTTCAGTTATTTTATCTTGCCATTTCTATTTGCTGTTACAATTCTCCATTCAAGAGCAAGTTTCAAATAATAGCATCAAATATACCACAAAGTTAATAGAATTGTATTACATTGAAGAACATAATTGCAATGAAAAGAATAAAATTCCTCGGAAGCTAGACAGTATTATTAAATATAGATAATAGAAAGACTTTTCATAGACAGTCATTTGTTGTTGGTGTTAGGTGCGATTGAGTCAGCTCCAACTCATTGGGACCCTTTGTACAACAGAAGGAAACACTGCCCTGTCCTGCACCACCCTCACAATCTTTGTTATGCTCGAGCCCTCATTGGAGCCACTGTGTCAATCATTCTCATTGAGGATCTTCTGTTTTGCTGACCCTCTACTTTATCAAGCATGACATCCTTCCCTAGAGACCAGTCCCTTTGACAACTGACTTTTGAAAGTCTTTTAGGAGAAGAAAATAATTTTTATTTCTATGCTACTAAATTTGTAGAAAGAGCTCCCAATCTTTTATTGTACCACATATTGTGAAAAGAAAGATTGGACTTTTCACAAAACTCATGGAGGGAATGATTTTATTTGATAATTTTGGTAGCTCAGCATGGACTAAAATCCTGGAATTATATATATTCTCCTTTCTATTAACCTATGGCTACTTAAAAGCAGAGAAAAATCACAAATTCTAAAATTGCAAATACTTTGTTTGTCTCTGGGTGCAGGGCTGTGGGTACATTCATAGAATACTTGTGGGACTGTAATTGCCATAATTTCTTTCAGGAGGAAAATTTGGCAATGCTTATCAATGCATACAGACATCCATGAGCAGTTCCAATTCTAAGAATTTGCACTTAGAAAATAATATAAAATATGTGAAAAATATAGATAGATATTCAAAATATAGATATTCACAACAGTACCATTTCTAATAGCAGTAGTGATTATATATGTTCCAGACAATGGACTATTACATGGCATAGTGCCTAAGGCATTTTTGACTGCTAACCAGAAGGCTAGTGGTTCAAACCCACCAGCCACTCCTCAGAAGGAAGATTGGGCAATCTACTTTGGTAGTGATACTGCCTCAGAAACCCAAGAAGGGGTCGCTAAGAATTGGATCTGACTCAGTGGTAGTCAGTTTGGTTTGGTTTATTTAAAATTAGTTTATGTATTTGACTTACATACATGTTTGATATATTTTAAAATGTTTAAATATATATAGATATAGAAAATATTCTATAGTGTATAAAATAATATAGATATTTAAACAATAAAACAACAACAACAACAAAAAAACTCACTGCTACTTAGTCAGTTCTTACTCATAGCAAGCCCCATAGTCTTTATGGAAGTGGATTGCCCAATCTTCCTTCTGAGGAGTGGCTGGTGGGTTTGAACCACCAACCTTCTGATTAGCAGTCAAATGCCTTAGGCACTATGCCAGCAAAGCTCCTATTTAAACAATAAAAAAAAAGAAAAAAAAAATCACTGCTGTTGAGCTGGATTCGACTCATAGCAACCCCTCCTTGGGTTTCCGAGGTGGTATCACTATGGAAGTAGATTGCCCCATCTTCCTTCCTAGGAGTAACTGATGGTTAGGGCCCCTAAATTTGCTCCTACTTTTTCCTTAGGTGAGTAGCATATATTTCTGATTTATAGATTTTTTTTTCTTCATTTATTTCTATATTTTTTAAGGTTTCTGCCTTGATTATGTATTACTTTAAAATAAATAATAAATTCTATTTTAAAAGATTTGGAAACAGTTGACTATAATCTCCACATAAGTATATATGCAAATATGTGGACATGTAAGTATTAAGTATCACTTTATTATTTCTTTCCTCATCTCTTATGCTAGATGTGAGCTGAGTTCTGACTGCATCACTCTTTTGGCAGTTCCCATTAAACTGATTTAAAAGAAAAAGTATATATACAAATGTGTGTATATGCATTTAGTACACTTACCTTTGGTAGGGAAGCTCGTGATCCTGAACTCTGTGTGGTCATAGTCAGCACAGTGGTTATTCCCAAAGCTACCCTGGCTGGAGCTGCATCCATATTGATCCAGAATGAAACCCAGGAAAGAATGACGATCAGGAGACTGGGAATGTACATCTGGATTAGATAGTATCCCATTTGTCGTTCAAGATGGAATCGTACTTCTATACATGTGAACTTTCCTAATTGGTGGTAAAACAAATACAGGGATTGTTAAAAACAGGTTTTTTTTTGTTTGTTTGTTTTGTTTTGTGTTTTTTATGGTATCAAATATCACTGTTTTGTTCCCATAGAAATTTTGTCCTAAATTTTTCCCTTACAACAAAGAGAACCTAAATTGCATATTTCAACTGTTCCTGAAAAACATTTTTTTTTTAATTTTATGTTAACATCTAGAAGCAATATATTATGAGAGTGTACTGTTTCAGGATTAGTATATAATCTTATTATTTCATATTTGAATAGAACTTCCTACTTTTCAAAGCACTGAAAGATCTATTATTTCACTTGATTCTAACAATTGCTTCTGAGGTTGAAAGGAGAAATTTATTATAGAAAGTCTGCTTTACTCATTGACTATTTCTGGTGCTTTTAAGTGTTTATTTAGAGCCAGGTGTTATTTTTTCCAGAAGCTTAGCCTTTAAAATAAGTGCTAGGAGATAAATCAAATTGAAGATAAATAGTTCCTTAAATTGTAATTCAAAGAAATGGTAATTGTGTGTTATTTCCCATTAATAACTTAGAATATAATTTACAAACACACTTATTAAAAACAAGTGAGAAACATTTATTTTAGATATTTATGTCTCTTTGTTTATATCATGCTAAACAATTAATGCAGTAGTAAATTATGTTTTGATTAAACATTACATTACTATTTCTGTGTATCCCTTGGTTTCACTCCCTATTATTATGTTCTTTCTCTTTATAATAATTGTTCTTTTGAATCATCTAAATTTAGGTTTTATCTTTTCCTTATTCTATTTTGAGAAGAATGGGGACAGGCAGCTAACATACTTCTCTTCCCTTAAGTGACGTTCTCTGACCCAACTGTGAAAGACGGTGCAGGGAGCTCATCCACAAAAATTGCTTTTCTGGGTAGGGCTCAGTGTAAACCTTCTATTAATGTAACTTGGGCTGGCTACATACACTGTGGCACAACCACTGCATGAAGGGATGAACACTACGATTCCAGGGTTTTAAGGTCTCAACATTTTCATGAGCTCTAAGAAAGTTAAATTCCAATCTTAAATGTCTAGAAATCAGAAATATGTTTAAGTCATACATGATTCCTATATCAATTTATCAAATATATACTGAATGATTATATAAACTAGAGGTTCTTAAAGTATATGAAAATACTTTAGGTTATTAAAGCTAACTTAAAATATAAATATTTAAAATTTTTATTACAAAATAAAATAAAATGGAGCAAGGATAACTGAAATATTTTTTATGATATCACTGTTAAATAGCCAACTGAAATAACCAACAGACATTATCTGTAACAATTACTGATTATATGGAAGTTTTGTTAAATTCTCTAAGGTTCATATGATTCTCAAGGGAAAAAAAAGATCTCATTGTATTTTAATCTTTTTTTCTTAAATATATTTTATTGAAATATAATTTATGTACAGTGAAATACACAAAACTAAAGTGACATGGATCAATACATTTTTTTTCAGTGTTTCCTCCTGTGTTTTAATCTTTTAAACAGTGTTTATAGCTATCACTACAGTGGGAAAAAAAATATATATATGTATATATATGTATATATATATATATATTTATCTTTATTTAGAGAGAGAGCTTTGATGGTATAATGAGTCAGGCATTTGCCTACTAACCAAAAGGTCAATGATTCAAACCCACCAGCTGCTCTGTGGGAGGATGATGAAGCAATCTATTTCTGTAAAGTTGTACAGTCTTCGACACCCAATGAAGGCCACTATAAGTCAAACTCGATAAATGTCATTAATATAATATTATGCTATCCCCACTTCCATATCCTAAATCAAACAAAGGAATACAGATAAGTTCAAAAGTAGGAAGAAAATAACTGTATGAATAAGAGGGGGCAGAGAAAAAAAAGAATATGACAATTTATCAGTGCATTATCTTTGGAGGTAGAGTGAAGTAAATAATTTTACTGAAATAAAATGATTACTAAGGAACTCCAGTGGTGCAATGATTAAAGCATTCAGCTGCTAACCAAAAGGTTTTGCAGTTCAAACTCAGCAGCAGCACTCTGAGGGAAAAAGATGAGGCAGTCTGTTTCCATAAAGATTTACATCTTCGGAAACCATATTGAACAGTCCTACTCTGTCCTATGGGGTCACTATGAGTTGGGTAAAATTATTTCTTGTAGTGAAGTAAATGAGGACCCACTCCACCCTTTGCCAATGAGTAGATTCTGACTCACAGCAACCCTATAGAACAGAGTAGAACTGCCCAATAGGGTTTCCAAGGGTGTAAATCTTTAAGGAAGCAGACTGTCTCATCTTTTTTCCCATGGAATGGCTGGTGGTTCGAACCATTTGGTTAGCAGCTGACTGCTCTAACCACTGCAGGAGTAAATGAGACATCATAAAATTGCGTGACACATATTCTGACATGGTAACACTAGTAATACAATACTGCGAAGTTTCTTTATATCTGTTTATATTTTAACATCTATTTTATATTATCTGACCTTATTTATCTTGGGTTGTCTTATGATTTGGAATTAAAAGTATCCTGACTGACACTGTATGAAGCAAAAAGAAAGAAGAATCAAATTACTAAAATTAGGACTCAAAGAGTAGATATAATGACTACCTTACAGAAACAAAAGGGAACATGAAGGAATACTAGGAATTACTAAATTAAATAATTTAGATGAAGTGAAAAAATATCTATGATGGTTTATTTTACTGCAAATAATTCAAGAAGAAGTAGGAAATCTAAATAGGCCTATAACAAGTAAAGTGGTATAATTAATAATTTAGAAAACTCCCACAAGAAAAGCTCAGGATCACACTGCTTCACTGTGGAATTGTACCAAACATTTAAAGAAGAATTAATAATAATCCTCCAAAAACTTCCTTGGAAAATAGAAGAGGAAAAATTCTTCAAGTCATTGTATGAGACTAGTATTACCCTGATACCAAAGTCAGTCAATATACCAATATCCCTTATGAATATAGATGCAAAAACCTTCAGCAAAATACTAGCAAACTGAACCCAGCAATACATAAAAGGAATAATGCCACAACCAATTAGAATTTATTGCAGGATGCAAGACTGTCTTAACCAAGAATAAATTATATGGTCATTTCAATGCAAACTATTTGTTAAAATTGAACATGCTTTCATGATGAAAACACTCAACAAACTATAAATAAAAGGGATTACCTATCCTCAACCTAATAAATGGCATCTGCAAAAAATCTATAGCTAATGGCATACTACATAGAGAAAGACACAATGCTTTCCCACTGAGATCTGGAACAATACAAGAATGTATGTTCTTGTCATTTCTTCTCAATGAAGCACTGGTGGGATCCACCCAGGGTAATTAGACATGAAAAGGAAATGAAATTTATTCAGACTGGAAAGGAAAAAGTAAGATGCTTTCTATAAACAGATGGCATGACCTTGTATATAGGCAATCCTAAAAATCTGCTATAAAACTACTTGACCTAACAAGTTCAGTAAGGTTCAACCAATTATAGAAAACAATATCTTTCTGTTTCAATTGTGTTTCAATACACCAGCAATGAGCAATCCACAAAATGAAATTGAGTTTTATGCATTGCTTATTAAAAAAAAAAAAAAAAAAAAACAACTCACTGCCATCGAGTGGGTTCTGACTTATAGCCACCCCTGCTTGGGTTTCTGGGATGCTATCTCTACAGAAGTAGATTGCCCAGTTTTCCTTCCAAGGAGTGGCTGGTGGGTTTGAACCTCCAGCCTTCTGGTTAGCAGTCAAATGCCTTAGGCACTATGCCAGCAGAGCTCTTATACATTGCCTATAGTAATGTATCAATAATATAGCTTCTTTGGAAAACAGTTTAGCATTTTTCAAAATTAAAAACATAGAGTTTCTATATGATCTAGAGCATCACTCCTAGGTATACACCAAAGAGATACAGAATACATATCCACCCAGAAACATTTTTGTGAATGTTCATTGCAGCATTGTTTATAATGGTCAAAAGTTGGAAACACCCCCAAATGTACATAAACTGATGAATGAATAAGCAAAATGTGATATATACACACAGTACAATACTATTTAAAAATGCAAATAAATACAATATCAATATATACTACAATATAGATGAACTTTGGAAACATTCTAGGTGAAAGAAACCAGGCACAAGAGATCATATGTAAGTCTCTACATATGAAACATCCAGAAACTATTATGTCTGAAAAGACAGAAAGTTGCCAAGTGATTGCTTAGGCAAGTGATAGTGGATGGGTAATGAGTGCTAATGCATACTAGGTTTGCTTTTTTGATGAAAATGTTCCAAAATTTAATTATTGTGATGGTTTCAGAACTCTGTATGTATACTAAAAAACAATGAATTTTTAAACAGGTGAATTTTATGATATATAAATTATATATTAATAAGTTATTTTTAAAAAAAGTATTCTTGCTGATATAGGCATGTGTTTTTGTTGTTGTCTGCCGTCAAGTCAGCCCCCACTCATAGCGACCCCTCCTTGGGTTTCCGAGGCAGTATCACTATGGAAGTAGGTTGCCCAATCTTCCTTCTGATGAGTGGCTGGTGGGTTTGAGCTGCCAGCCTTTGGTTAGCAGTCGAGTGCTTCAGGCGCTATGCCACCAGAACTCCCGATATAGGTATAAAGGAAAATTTTTCTTTTTAGAGGAAAACTGTCCCTCTGCCCAAGGGGAGGGCTATAATATTCCCACATATACAGTGTTATATTAAAGTTTATTCTTTATTATTTTACTAAAAATGTTTACTGAGTGCTTAAACATTTCTGTAGACTGCAGAACCATAGAAATAAAGAGAATAAATATAGTCTCTACCTTTGTAAATTTATGTTGATAACTGGAAATACACAATAAACAAGTAATGAAATAAAGGTCTCATTTCAGGCATAAAAATAGGAATTGGTGGGTTTGCATGTTTAACGTTTGCTTGTTAAGGAAAAACATTTGAGTAAGTAGCATTGAATTGGAGACCTGAAGGATGTGAGAGTATTAGGCTTGAGACCATTTGGGGAAATAGTTTCCTCAAGTATGGAGGAAAGAGCAAGTCCAAAGACACTGAGGCAGGAATGATTTTGGTGCATATGAGGAAGCTACTGTGGCAGGAGATGCCATAACAAGAGAAAGAGAAGTAGAAGATTTTGGAGAGACAGGAAAGGGACAGATCATAGCTCCCTGTAATCCTTGTAGTATTTACATAAAGAATACTTTCAGGTAATGAAAATAAATTAAGCAAAATTCTATGCCTATAAAACTCATTTGCATGTCATAGCATTTTTAAACTAGACATTTTTCTGGTTACCTAGTACCACTCTGACAAGAAAATATACCACAAATGGGATGGCCTTAACAAACAGGAGTTTATACTTACAGTTTGGAGGCTTTAAATCCAAGTTCAAAGTGCCAGACTCTAGGGGCTAGGAGAAAGCCCCTCAACCTTGGGGTCCAGCTCTGCCTCCTGCTCCTGGCCCACTGGAGCTAGAGGCATTTCTTCACTCAGACAGCTGTTGGCTGCTGAGGCTGAGAAGCCCCAAGGTTGACAAGTAAAAAGGTACAG